GAACAAAAACAAACTACAATTGAGCCCAATATAAATGATCCCTTGCTGCCCCTCTCTAGGCTAAATAATCTGGCTATGGCATTAGCTGATCTCCCAACCCATTCTATTCTTACAGCCAAATCCCTTGTTAGCCATTTAAACCTCTTAATTTCGTATTTATAACACCACACTACAGATTCTGGATTCTGTAGCCAGCCCACTACCACCTTGGAGTCACCCTTGATTAACAATTGTGTCACTCCTAGCTGATTTGCAAACTGTACACCTAGAATTACAGCCAACAGCTCTGCCCTAGTGGAGTCCCCAACTCGTAGAGGACCTGAGTAGAGCAACACCACATTTCCGGCCTCATTCCCTGAGAACCCCTCCCAACCCACCCAGAAGGACCTGGATTACCTTGACTACTTCCACCAAAATCCAGCTTCAGTACGCCTGTAGGAGGACGTAGCCAGTTCATACTTACTCTAGGCTTTGGAAAGGTACTACTTGCCACTACAGCCCAATTCCTCCACAGATCACTAAAGGAGAAAAGGCGGAAAAGCTCCCTAGATTTTAACCACTGGACCACCCTATTCAAAAATGCAATCCTTAAACTCTTATAGGTTTCTCTCCTTCTCTTGAAACACTCTGGCATTCCTTTCTTCCCAAACAGTCCAGATCAGTGCTGCTCGTGCACATCTCCACATTAACCTCCTTCACTTTTTTTTTATCAATAACAGAATTCAATATTATTAAAAGAAATCAAGAATACATACAAGATTTCAGGGAGAGATAAAATGACTTAGCTCTCCCCCAAAACAACAAGAAGATTACAGAATTGCCCAAAACAATTGATCCCTACCCACCCCCTGTTTTGCCAAGTTATCAGCAAAGGCATTTGCAGTTCTTTTCACCCAATGAACCTGGATTTCCACTCCCCTCAGCAGCCACTTAACCTCTCTTCTCTCATTAGCATAGATCCAAAAACCATTACCCTTCCCTAACCAATTTAACACTAGCCATGAGTCTCCTTCGATAATTAATTTTTGGATGTTCAGTTCCTTTGCTTTCCTTAGCCCTACTAACAAAGCAAACAGTTCAGCTTTAAGAGAATCACCCAACAACCCAATGGGACCTGAGTATAATGCAACCACCTTCCCACTTTCATCTCTGATTACACCTCCAGCACCTGATGGTCCCAGGTTGCCTTCACTACTCCCATCGAAGTTTTAACTTCAAAAACCCTGGGGGTGGAGTTGACCACAGAGGGCACCCATTGATTGAGTTGGCACAGAGGAGGCCACTTCCAATTGTTCAGCAGCATACCCGTAGAGACATCAACAAACAGCTCCAAAGTTTTCAGCCATTAACCACCCTCTTCTTGGCTGCCAAGGAAAGGTAGGACCGAAGAGCAAGCTTACTTCTGCTGGCATGTTCCACCTGCACCCAAACAACAAGAAGAGCCAATCCCATAACTCTGCAGTAAAAGAACAAGAAATTAGTCAGTGGTAACAGTCTTCACCATGGGACCTGCAACGGATACACCAGTTGGGTGAGATGCAAAGTAAAGGTCTTCTCTTTTGTAGATTATCATCTAAGGTGTTTATTTTCCCATGATACACCTCCTAGAAAAAAGCCATTACTTTAGGAGGAATGAGTCTGCACAAAAATTCCTTAACCGGGAAAGACTGTTGAGAAGGGGGCTGACAAAGGGACCTGAAAAAAGAAGCGCAGGAGAAAGACCCTTTTGGCTGTGTGAACCAAATTCGCTTGTCTGGTTGAGAAGAGTCCAAACAAACTTTATCAAGAGGACTCAATAAACTGGTGAGACACTTAACCTCCCCATCCCTCAAACCTCTACAAAAGCCAAAATCCCAGTTTGGTGCCAAGGAATTTTCAAGAGAGGAGAAAAAAATGGAGACAACCTCATTTTTGTACAAAGATATATTGAACAGGGAAGGAAAAAGGTCCTTCAGGGATAGATCACCAATCCAAGTATCCTCCCAAAAAAGAACGAAGTTTCCAGCACACACATCATACCTGATTAGGCTGAAGAGAGGGAGAATACTGTGAATAGCCTTCCACGGAGTTGCTAGTGTTGCCCGTTGAAATATACTAGCATCCCACCCATTTTCTGCATGACCATGAATGCTTCCTATCACCTCATGCAACAACCTTTCTCTTTCCAAAGGCCACCTCCACAGTCATTTCCCCAAAAGAGCTTGGTTCGTTTGAACTAGATTCTCCAATCCCAATCCCCACTCTTCTTTACTCCTACAAACCACCTCCCACTTGACTAGGTGATCTTTCCTACTTTCCCCCGGTTCCTAAAGGAAATCTCGCATCAACTTCTCTAGTTTTTTAGCTTCCCTAGAAGGAATCCTAAAAACGAATAGGAAATAGGTTGGCAAGTTAGCTAGCGTGGCTTTGATCAAAGTGATTCCCCCCCCCCCCCGCAAAGAGATATAATTCTTTTTCCACGAGGCCAGTCTTTTCTCAAACTTCTCAACAACTAGGCAACAAAAACTACTCTCTAGGATGTGCCCCTAAAGGGAGCCCCAACTAGGCAAAGGCCAAGTAGAAATGGAACACTCAAGACACTCCGCGATAACCTCCAACTCTTTTAATTCCAAATTGACCCCTGCTACTCGACTCTTATCAAGATTAACTTTTGAATTGGATACCCTTTCAAAATTTGTTACCAACATCTTGAGATTTCTCACCTTTCTCAAACCCCCCCCCTTCACAAAGAATTAGTATATCATCTGCAAATTGAAGGTGAGTAACTAGGATTTCCTCTCTACCAACTCGCCACCCTCTTACTACACCCTCCCTGTCAGCCTTTGAGATCATTCTACTAAACACATCAGCTATTAAGGTAAATAAGAATGGCGAGAGAGGGTCTCCCTGCCTAAAACCCCTACAGGCTGAAAAGAAATCCTTCACTACTCCATTAATCAAGATAGAGTAGTGACAGGAACTAATGCACCCAAAAATCTAATTACACCACCTTTCTCCAAAGCCACAACTTCACAAAACATGAAGCAGGAGTTGCCAATCCACCAAATCATATGTCTTTTCAAGATCCAACTTACAAACGAAACCTCTTCTTTTGATCTTCTCATCTCCTCCACACACTCGTTGGCAATCAAAATCTAATCAGTAATTTGTCTCCCTTTGGCTAATTAGAGAAGGAAGGACTTCTTTAAGTCTCAATTGCAAGACCTTGGCTAGAACTTTGTAAATACTGGTCACCAGACTAATTGGCCTAAAATCCTTAGGGCAAGTCGCATCAGCCTTTTCAGGAATTAAGGCCAAGAAAGTGGCATTGACTCCTAGGCTCAACTAAGTCATCCTTCAGCACCTCCCAGCAATCTTGGTAAAATGCCATTGTAAAACCATCAGGATTCGGAGCCTTAGATCTATCCATAAAAAACACTGTCTTCCTTATCTCTTCTTCTTCAAACCTTCTTTCCAACTAGCTTGTTTTTTCCTGATCCAATCTTAGTCAATCTAACCCTTCCAAAGGTAACCTCTCATTTAAAGGCCTTCTATAAATGGACTTAAAGTGATTCACAAAAGTTCTAGCTATTTCATCCTAATTTTTTATCTCCTCCCCATCTATCGCTAATTTGGCCACATAACTTTTCCTTCTTTTGTTTGCCAAGTCATGAAAGAACCAGGCATTTCCATCACCTTCCTTAATCCACTTATGCCTTGATTTCTGCCTCCAACAAATCTCCTCTCTAAGTAAAATATCCTCCAAGTCCTTTTTCAATTTCCTTCTCAGCTCTCTATCTTGTTCATTCATGGTCCTTTGAGATTCCTTTTCATCTAGCTCCTCAATCCGAGTAACTAGAGTCAGCTTTTGCTCCTCAACCCTACCAAAGTGATCCCTCCATTCCTTTATATCTTAGTCTCTACAGCTTCTTATGGAACTTTACCCCCTTCCATTTAAACCCCCCCCCCCCACTAATTTCTTCACTCCACCACTCCTTCATTTTAACCCCAAAATCTGGATGTGTCAACCACATGTTTTCAAACCTAAATGGTCTAGGTCCACTAATAAAGGTTTCAATACCTATTTTGATGGGGCAATGATTAGAAGTAACCCTAAGCAGAGCTCTAGAGACTAAGTTCCCCCAATGGTTTTCCCAGGCTAAGTTGAATAGGAATTTATCCAGCTTCGAGCAAAAAGGGTTTTCCTAGAGATTAGACCACGTGAACTTGGCTTGCAATAGTGGGATTTCTCTCAACTCACAATCTTTTATGAAATCATTAAATTTCCTCATACTCGTTGTAATTGACTGTAGAGTGTTACTAGTTTCCTCAGAGAACCTTATGACATTAAAATCCCCTCCCACGCACCATGGGCCGTCCCATAATCCACAAATTGCATACAATTCCTCCCACAACTCATTTCTTTCTCTGTAACTATTAGGGCCATACATGTTAGTTAACACCCAGAAAAACCCATCCTCCACATTCTTAAATTTGATAGAGACCGAGTACCTTCCTATCAGTTCCTCTACTAGTTCCACACTTTCATCCTTTTCCCCTAGATTTCCAACAACTCCTGGTCATTCTTCTTGGATACTGTTTCTTGAAAAATAGAATGCTATGTGTCTGAAGGAGAAGCTCTCTCTCTCTCTCTCATATATATATATATATATATATAATGTAAAGTTAGGGAACTAACCTATAATTTAGTTTTTACATGTAGGCCCCATTATTTTAAAGACATTATTTTTTTAAAGGTAAGGTAATTTTATTCAAAAAGGAAAAAGATACAAGGCCCAGACCAAAAGGAAGGCCTAAAAACAACTCAGGTTACAGACTCCACAAAGACTGAGTTCTAAACAACTAAGGCAAGTTCAGGTGCTTGAAATCATGAGTAACAAACACCCAAGAAATCAGATTGCCCACAGCTCTCTGCACCAACTCTTCTGGACTTTTAACTCTGTTACAAAAAATTCTGTTATTTCTTTCAGACCAAATGGACCACAAAACAGTTGCTGGTATGGTTTTCCACACTAATTTTTCCTTCTTATTTAAGTCTTTGATTTTCCAACAGCACAGCAGATCCTTGACAGACCTTGGCATAACCCAGCTGATACCCAAAGCTTTCAGGAAATGCTCCCACACCATGGAGAAAATCGGACAGTAAATGCATAGGTGGTCTGTAGTTTCTGGGAGGATGCCACACAGACCACAAGAGGAGTCCAGAAGCTGGATGTGCCTCGTCTCTCCAAATTAGACCTAGACAGACATTTATCTAGAGCCATTGTCCATACAAGAAAATTGGATTTAGAGGGAATTGTTGAATTCCAAATCTCTTTGGCAGGAAAAACCGCAGAACCTGGACTGCTCAGCTTGAAGGCTAAGGATTTAACAGAGAAGCAGCCATCAGAATTCCATTTCCAACTCCATTCATCCTCCAAATTTATATCTATCCTTTGTTTCTGTAGAAGCTCCAGCAGCTCCACAATCTCATCCAGCTCCCAGTCAAACAAGTTTCTCCTGAAGAGGGGGATCCAAGTATTAGAATCTCCAGAAAAGTTATAAGTATCAGCCACTAAGGAATCTTGGTTAGCAACACACTGAAATAGAATTATAGATTTAAATAGAAATATGATCCTAAATCTCAGACTGGCAAGCATGAGAATATGGGTTGAAGTCCGAGAGCAGCCACTTTGTGCAAAAGGTGCCAGAGGTTAGATCCATATCTAGTCAACCCCTCCCTAGACCATAAATAGCTGAGAGCAGCATTAGGTAATGCCCCATTTATATGAACTAAAATCAATGTTACAAAAGTTTTTTTTTTTTTTTTGTTTCCTAGTGTAGGATTCAAATTAGAAATAGTATTGGTCAGTTATGCAGCAAAGTTAATAGGTTTCCAACACACAGACAAGCTGACACAAATATGACAGTTTTGCTTGACATGTCATCCAGCAAAGAGATCTCTAAATTTCAGTCTAACAACCCCCTGCAAAAGAAGGCCCTCTTTTCTGCCAATTTTTGAAACTTCAATGTGCAGCTTCACAAGAGAAGAAAATTACATTGTAGGATATAGTGTAGACATGAACTTTGGAACTGACAAGTAGCCATTTCATAGGGCCATCCATATGATAAATGGCCTAGATTGACAACATAACAGCATGTGGTTGGCAAAGAGGGTTTGCAGAAGTAAGGAATACAAAATCATCCATCCTAATACTTACATATACATATCTATGTGCATGAATAGATGCTTATGTTTAAACATGCATGCAAGCACGCCCACCACACAGACACACACGCATGCACATGCGCACACACACAGATGCCCAGGGATATGATGGAAAATGCAGTTTTGACGAGAGTGTACCATAAAGTTTGGAAGTTTTCGTCCAATTGATGGACAGCAATCCATTGGTAACAGATGATAACTGCATTAAAGACAACCACAAACAACATTTAGATTAAACTTGTTTTAGGAGAGAAATCATTGATTCTGAGTATACAAAATGGAGTCAGAAAAATACAAAACCTGATGACATTGAAACATCCTCAAAGCTTCTTACTTCTGATTGCAGTATGCCAAATCCCTGAAGCAAGCAACTACTTCAACCCACCAACATCCTTACTCTGCATAGCAAAATCCACATGAAACTAAGATGAAAGAATGTACATTGTTAACTTTAATTTGAGAGAGAGACTATAATCATATAATAGTGCTATCTTCATTTGTTCAAATTTTCATAATGCACAAAGCTTTTTTTAGGTAAAGCATACATTACAATGAATAATTTATCAATCAAAAAATGTATGCTGGAGAAGACAATGAACAATTTAGTACTCCTTGACTTACTAATCAAATATTAAGAACTACAAAATAAATTCTTTCATCTTTACTTGAATTTGTGGTTAAGCCAAGTGTTTTAAAAGGTACACCTAAGTGCACAGGTAAAGAGCATTTTAAGGTATGCACCTTGCCTGAACCCATATGATGCCCCTTTAAAAGGCACACATGCCTAGCCTAGTGCACCTAGGCATGTGCTCAGCCCAAGCACACATTTTTTTTAAATTTCCTCTTATGTGTTATTTTTTATACACTCTTAATGTGTTCATACTTCTACAGTCTCTAATGGTTTATTAACCTTTAAATAAAAAACAAAGACCGTTTGAATATCTGAAACCCTAATGTTGCACATGGAATCTCAGATAAGCAAATTTTCCACTAAAGAAGCAACAAAAATACAGCAATTTTCTAATCCCTAATCCTAAAATAGAATGCACTATGACCAAAATCCTGAAATTGGTATGAGCATTGGAAGACTGGTTTATTTTCCCAATGAATTCTTTCCTTGTTATTGAGCACCTTTTTCTTTTCTCCATCAAAAAAGAGAGGTTAAATCATGTTCACATGTACAAGGGCAGCAATGTTGTGCTGCATTTTGGACTGTGTGCGTACATACATGCACACATATATTAATATATATCTCCACACACAAACGTACATACATATATATAGAAAGATAGAAAACCTCTATAAGGTTGCATGTAGGTAAACTGGTAAAGAGTATGGATGCTTTGCACCTTCTACCATAGATGATATTATCAGATATCGGTAGTTTGTGCTGCCCTTCTTTTCACTGGAGTTTTTATTTACATGCCTTGGAGCTCGCAATCCAAAACACCATCAAGGTGAACTTTGATGGACGCAACTAGGGAACCCTGGTCCTTTGGAGTAGGGGGAGTCTTTAGGAACTGGGAAGGATTTTTTTTTGATAAATGATAGAAATTTTATTAGAACAGAAAAAAAATATATATCACATGATTATAGAGTACATCCAGCAGAGGTGCGAGATGCAGCCCCAGCCAGAAACAAGATTATGACTGAGCCCGGAATAATTCAGACTCAGGCACCCCCCCCCCGGGTTTGCAAAAAAATCTGCCATCCCATTAGCTGAACGCCTTTCCCATTGGACAGATATTGTCATATCTCTGACCAGCCACTTAAATCTTTTCATATATTCTTTGTATTTCCAAATTACAGTTTCAGGTTCCTTCAGCCACCCTATTACCAGTTTAGAATCACCTTCAACTAACAGCCTGTCATAATTTAATTCTCTAGCAATCTGTATTCCTTGTAAGACAGCTTGGAATTCGCCAAAACTGAGTCCCCTACTCCAACTGGACCAGAAAAAACAGCAACAACATGACCTTCAAAGTTTCTAAAAACTCCCCCTATACCAGCCGAGCCTAGGTTCCCTACACTGCTGCCATCAAAATTCAGTTTGATGAAGCCTTCTGCAAAAACTGGGAAGGAAATATTTTAGCACTATACTTTGGACATGTGGCTTTGGAGACTATTTGGGCAGAATTGTTGGTAGTGCTACATTCATTACGGATAAGGATGGCAAAATCCAATTATAGGTTGGATTAGAAACAAGATTGCAGGTTCATGGAAGTACATATATGCTTTAAGGGAGATCAACAAGTTGCCATTGGAGCTTGGCAACAGTTATAATTGGACACCACATTCAGCCAGTGATCTTCCTTATGAACTGGCAAAAGCATGGGTGAATAGAATCCCAGATGCATTGGTGTTTAATCCCTGTTGAGGGTTTACTGTTATTTATTTATTTGTTATTAGTTGCTGTTATTGGACCCCAAGACCCATTAGTTTAGTGCTGCTGTTTTAAGTTCTTTTTGATGTGTTAGCAGTAACCGCCCTATTAAGGGCATATTAGACATTGTATCTCTTTTTATTCTTAAGCATAAATGTTAATGGGTTGAGGTAGCCAGATCATCTTTGGCTTTCTCTTCCCTTTCATCTTGTCCTTCTACTCTCAAGAATCCCTCTTCTACCTCTTTTCTCTTAATTAAAAAAAGGGCAGCCCAGTACACAAGACTCCCACCAATGCAGGGTCTGGGGAGGGACAGATGCATGCAGCCTTACCCCTACACATGCAAAGAGGCTGTTTCCAAAATTTGAACCCTTGTCACCCAGGTTGCAATGGAGCAACCCAACCTCTTTTCTCTCAATTCTTAAATCCTTTTATTTCTGCTATTGTCTACCCCCCCCCCCCCAAAGAAGGGAATTTCTAAATTTGTTGCCATTGCCAGCAGACGCTAGCTGCACAAGGGGTGCATGGCACATTGTAGAATATAGATGTTAATCATTTTTCTTAGACATATCAATTAATATTTCTTTTGTTGGTCAGGGGCGCATGGCACAAAGGAAGAAAAAACTTTCCATTGGAATTAATAACCGAAACTCAACCATCCATTCCCATGGGTGATCAGAAGACATCCATAAGGTGTTCTATAAGGAGATAATTTTTCTTTTTCATTTTCATGGTTTCAATCCCCTCCTTGGGCCCAAATCCCAAGATAAACCAGCTTCAGAAAACAACACCAAAGAATATATTTACAGGTGTTTGTGATTCGAGATAGAGCAAAGCCTACTCTAACAAAGAGTCACTCCACCATGAGTCTTTCTAAAACATTACTCTACTTCCCAAGGTTGGATTATACTGTATAAACCTAGATAAGGATGGTAAGATGAATTCTACTGCCTTCCAAGGGACAACAGGATGACTCTTCTGGCTGGTCCAGCATTCCAGACTTTGGCATGAACATGAAAGCCTTATTTGTTATTTATAACGAAATTCCAAAGAATTCTCTCTTCCATAAGAAATCTTTACAATCATTTTCCAAAGGCCATATTCTTAATCCTTTCTCTCCATATTCCTAGCTCTGTAAATTTGTAAGGGGGTTCCAAAAAGCCAATAAGAAGGTAAAACTGATACCAACGAGGGAAAACATGAGTAAAATACGAAATTTGTAAATTAAATGCAGATTATACAGTGTAACATTAAAACAATAATCATATAAACCATGTGCGAAAAACCTCACCTGACGTTATATGGTCTTGTTGATACAGTCCATCTCCACCAGCCATTTAACAAGCAAATTATGCTAATGTCCAAAAGTTTTGCTTATGTGATTATAATTAAGTCCGAGATCCCACATGGAGACCACTTCCCTTGGATACGACCTGCAATGTTGTACCTTTGATGATCCAGGCTGTTAGTTCAGGTTGATGCTCAAGGTGGTTAAGAGGACGAAGTTTTCCATCCTCCATTTGCACACCATAGACAAAAGGGAGTCTAAGTGTGAGGAAGCTCTCTGGTGGTAAGATAACTCGACACCCAAGGCTAAATTGTGATTGTTGTTCATGGTTCAGCACGGATGGAGGTAGACATGAGACCTGCAATAAAAAAACTTCATCATGAAGAAGAATATTTTTCCAGCTTCCAAGAAACAGCTACTATCTATCAAGAGCAGTATGTTTAGGGAAGACTATCCATTTCCTACATCATCAAGATATGCATAAAAGTGTACCTAGACATGAAAAAAATTGAGTAGACTCAAAGTTCAGAATTTCGATATGATACCCCCCATATTGGGCATATTGCATTGATGGGGTTCCGATACAGAAAATAAAGGGGGTTTGGGAATTTGGGCATTTTCAGGGAGTAGGCAGGCCTAAGACTGACCCCCTGACCAATTTTGAGGAAAAACAACACTAAAAGAAAGGGTTTTTTGTTGTATTGATACTTTAAACCTTGAGTAAACCATTATAACAGTTTCAAAATGCTACTCATGCATTTCACCTAGGAATCTATTAGACCAACAGTCAACCTAAATTAATGATCTGAACCATCAAATAAATCAACTCACATAGGATAGACAAAATTTTTTGCAACTGCCAAGAAAAATCCCATGTATTTAGATAGTTAGGAGACCTCCTAAGTAGGACCTAATTGAATATCCAGGTTCCACTATGGTGCAACCTCTTGAATGTACTGATGATGAACATGTGACTGTAAATGTAAGATGAATAGTGTTTTAAAAGGTTTGCAAGCCTCATAGTCATAGCCTTATACTTTCTGCCTTGCCTCAAAAATGACTTGCAACTCAACCTTCAAGATCATACATCAAAGTAAAAGGTGTATTCTTTATTTAGGATGACATCTCAACATTAACCACAATAGGATTATCATAATTCATGACAGGATAAGTTAAAGATTAACCTTTGCATTTTAAATATATATTTTTTGAATTGGTGTTGACTAACTTTCTAGTTATTGTGTTTAATCAAGGTTTAAAGTATCAATACACCCAATTCGCACCTACAGGCGAATCAGGTGTTTAGATACAACAAAACACCATTTTTATTAGTTTTCTTTAATTGACCAGGAGGTTGGTCTTAGGCCTGCCTACTCCCTGAAAATGCCCAAATTCTCAAACCCCATTTATTTCCTGTATCAGAGCCCCACCAATATAATACGGAGCATATTGTATCAAAATTTTGAACCTTGTGTTTAATGTCTTAGCATTTTTTAAATGCTTTGGAGATTCTATTTTACATTAAGAAGTTTTCTAATAGGTATTGAAGGCATAACAATTTGTAAGAATGCAATGTAGCTTAAGTGTTATTTATGTGATATGTTATTCATTTATGTGTTTTTCCTACATAAAAATATAATTGTCATATTTGCACTTTTATTAGTACTGTCAATTGTTTCGGTCTGGTCTGGGTCAGGGTAGATCCAGTCCTAAACCAATAAATAAATGTGTAGAACCAGCTCCAAACCAAATCCTATGTAATAACAGATCTAGAACTGACCAAATTACTAATCAGGATTATCAGGTCTGACCTGATTACAATTGAGAGCTCTAACTTTAACGTGTAATTTGACAATGAACCTAATCATTTGTTAAATTGACACATCCTGACATGATGGTATGATAATATTACAAGTATACCATGAGAAATATAGGTAACAGAATGTGGTCTCGTTCAGAACAACCAAAACCAATCCTGACCCAATTATAATCAGAGCACATAATGCAGACCCAGACTCAACATAATTGGGTCGGTTCAGTTTGGTACTTTGGTTCTTTTGGGTCTGTCCAACCCAATGACAGCCCTAACTTTTATACTTCTCATTTTAGTTTCAGGTTTTTCTTAATAAAGTGGTAACTCATATGGCTTATGCCTCTCAACTAAAGGTCCTGGAGCCTCATTACAAGCCTCCACATTTTTAAATATTGCCAGAAACCAGATGGCAAAAAATGATTCAAGCATGCTGATTTGGTATAGATTAGTAAGGCCCATTAAATGGTCGGTTCTCATTGCATGTCCCATATCTTAATCAACAGTTTAGGGCTTGAACTAAAAGTCATCCATTTTAGCTAAAGCTTTTTCACAACATTACTCTTTTTAAACAACATAATAATAGACATTAGCTTTAAAAATTTTGTAAGCTGTCTCTAATTTAGTTCATGTTTCTCTTGAAAAAGTGAAGTCAGTAGTCACATGAGGCTTAATCTCCAAGCTTCAAAGCTATCACCATACATCTGTGGCTTTACCTTCTAAATTTGACAGAAACTAACAACTGCAATCTATCTTAGATTTCAATGAGTAGCAGAAATGGAACCTCCTAAAAAGGCAATGAAGTATCAGAAAGTGTTGACCAACAAAGCCCCCATAGGTGCATATTTACATACAAGGTAATTGAGCCATTGATCTATACCTCAAATTGTACAACTGGGCATGTTGCTAAAACAATTGGAAATGGAGGTGTCACCTACAGAGAAACATTTAGAAGTTAAGAGGCATAAATGACAGAAAATTCATGTCATCTCGTATCATGTTTCATAAAGAAAACTTCTAGATTAACCCACACAAGCAGCAAGTACTTTAACATGTACATATCAAATATTGGAGATTGATTTGGCCAAACCACATCTCAGAGGGATAAATAGTAAAGCAGTTTCTCTATTAATATAATGCAACAAATATACTGAAAAGCAAACAGATAATTTGAGTTTTTTTTTCAAATTATCAGTTTTTTTTCTATTTCCGGCTGTTTGAGGAAATCTCTCCCTCAGCAGTCTTTTTGATCTTTATTTGAATAATAATATTATTCACCATTTCTCAAAAAAAAAAGATAATTTGAGAAACTAAATGGCATAGTTTTTATGAGTAATTAAAAGGCATATTATTTTACAATTTACATTGTCAATGTCCTAATAAGTAATTGAAATTTAATGTGAAAACAGGAATTCATACACACCCTCTTACTGACCACAAGCACAAGCACAAGCAAGGGAAAAATCTGTGAAAGAAGAAATCAAGATTCTTCACATTCTTCTACAATTGGAAATTTCATAATTTCTGGGTAATTTAAATTTTTTGAGTTTCTTTCATATTTATTTTCTAGTTTGTTAATGTCTCAGGGCTTGGAATTGGAACTGAACAGAGTGGAAGGACAGAAGAGGATTCATTTATCCATCTCATTCTCATATAGTTGGGGCACTGCTTAATTGAGTCAAGTTAGTCAAGTTGAGTTGAGGTTGTTAGTGTCTTAGTAATAGGGTTAGTCATTTTAAAAGATCAAATCAGTTTATCATCTTATTACAGACTTTTTAGGATTTTGAAATGTTGAAGATTAAAGCACGTCACTTTTTTTCAGCCTATTGTTAAGGAGCCAAAACTTGCACATTCTGTATAAGTTAGGTGTTATTCTATATGTAATTGAGCTATCTATCAAACTTCAAACAAGGTTAAATCTTGTAAGCCAACATATTTTGAGGGAGTTATGGACATTTTAGTAATAGGGTGTCAGTCTATGATAGGAATTGGGTCTTATATTTCTTTGGGTCAATCTTGGAGTTTCTTTTTATTTGTTTAGTTGTAGTAAGAGTAGTAAAGAGTTCTATTGATCAAAAAAATAGTAGAGTTATCATAGTTATTTTAGGAGTTAGGGTCCTTATTTTATTATGCTTATGGGTTACCTATACATTTGTCTTAGTTTTGAAGCAATAGAAATTGTTTTGGGTCAGTTTGTGAGTCTAAATTGGAGTCTGTAAAGGGAGATCCGACCCCTTATTTTGAGTCTTTGAACAGAGCCATTATAATTGAAACATGTATCTTCTTCTTCCTTTCTTTCATCAGTAACAGTTAAACATTTTATTAAGAAGCTCATGGCAAAAAGGTTATTGAAAGCATTCATGGGCTCAGGAATAATGGCTGGGATGCAAAGGTTGCTCCGACATCTACCTTGAACTCTCCTTGGAAAGCAATTCAAGAGGTCGAGCTCCCCAGAGGATGTAGTGAGCCTCTTCAACCCAAACTTCCTAAGGCAGCCGACAAAGAGGGGAAGAACAATGTCGAAATCAGTGAGGGCAGCTGTGGCATGGACGATTTGGGAGGAAAGGAATGCAAGAATATTTAATGGCAAATGCAGACCAAAAGAAGAGTTGGTGGAAGCTGTAAAGATAAAAGTTGCTCATTGGATAAAAACATTCGAGCTGTTCCAAAGCTTCTCTGTGGCTGATATCCTGCGAGCTTGGAAAGAAGTGGCATGTTCAACTAAGAAAAAAGAAAAGATGGTGATGGAATGGAAACCCCCTGCTGCAAATAAGTTAAAGTTGAACTTTGATGGCAGTTCCATTGGGAATCCGGGATTGGCAGGTATAGGGGGTGTGTTCAAGACTCAACAAACAAAGTTCTGGCTATGTATTCAGGGCCTATAGGGGCAGGTGACTCCATAAAGGCTGAGCTTCATGCTCTTTTGCAGGGATTAAAACTAGCCAAACAAGCAGATTTTAATATTTTGGAGGTTGAAGGAGATTCAAGACTGGTGATTTCTTGGTCCAGTTTCAGAGGTAACACTCCCTGGATTTATAGACATTCCTTGAGAGAGATTGAAAGTTTAGCAAGGGAGCTCAATGCCACTTTCACTTGTATTAGAAGGACTGCAAATGGGATGGCTGATTCGCTAGCAAAACAAGGAGTGTACAAACAAGATCTATTCTGGGCAGGTTTGTAATTCTTTTCGATTGTTTGTTTGTATTCTCCTGCTGGCTGTAATCTTTTTTTTTCAACTTAATAAAATTTATTCTTCTTTACTGATCAAAAAAAAAAAGAAGCTCATGGCAAAAATGTACACAGTGTGCTGAGCACCCTTCTAGAGTACCTAGCCTCAGCTAGCCACCCTTATCAATATATTTTGTTATGATTACAAATTTCCGCCCTGGGAAAATACACCGCATATGGCTTTTCTTTACCCCCTGTTTAATAAGCCCATCAGCCACATTGTTGGCTGATCTTAGAGAGCATCTTTAAGATGTCCTCAATTCCATGGCTAACTTTGTGATTTCCTTTAAGATGTGCCTCCATTTCCATGACCCAGCACTGTTACTTCCTAACCACCCTACTACTACATGTGAGTCCCCTTTGACCAATGTCTCTGTACAGCAGAATTTTTGCCACTGTTAATCCTTCAACTACGGCCTTCTGGCTGAGTAGAATCACCAAACCCAGCATGCTCAGAATCAGAGGATAATGCTACAGTATTTCCTTTCCAAGTTCTGAAAACATCCCAACCTCCAGCCTTCTTCCCAAGTTCTGAAAAATTCCTTATCAAGGATAAAGATGCCACTTGTTGTCTGTAAAGAGACTGGGCCGAACGAGCCCTAACATCCTCTCTTGTAATATCTTTTATTTTATTGTTGATGGGCCACACTTAATGGGCCTGTTATTTATTCTTGTTTTATTCTCTTTATGTAACTGCCAAGCTGGCTGCCCACTTAAGGGCATTCTTGTCATCATCTAATTTTTAGATCTTAATAAAATAGGGTTAGAGGAGAATGGAGATTAATTCGACTCCTTCTCTTACCTTCTCTTTTCACCATCTTCTTCTCCTGTATAGCTGTTCAGACCTGTTCTTTACTTCTTCTAATCCCTAAATTTGTTCTTGATATTTGAGGACTGATTTACATCTTGGTATCAGAGCGGCTTAGTTCTTCTTTCTTTTTTCTTCGTTCCCATACACTCTAAAATCAAGAGAGTGTATGGAGAGATAGGTTCTCTATAGTATAGAGGATCACTTGCCTAGTTGGTAGAGGGTTTGGAGAGTTTAGATCTGGCTGGATTTTGCCAAGAAGCGGTGTTGTTCTGCTGCTGCCCGAAACCCTAGTCGACTAGAGATTTTCGAGGTTACCAGGAAAGGTGAAGCTTGGGTGTGGCGCTCTGTGCTTGGAAGGTGTCTCGTGACTGTTAAAGGAGGGCGGTTCAGGTTTGGAAGAATTTGGGTTGGTCTGTTAGGTGCGGCTGCATCTTCTCTCTTCCTCCCAATAGCTGGACGGAGCAAAACCCTAGTTTTTCAAGCACCCGAGTTCTGGTTTGACTTCAAGTAAGTTTATATAGACAAAATTTCTGGTTCTTTGATTTTCGTTTGATTGATGGAGACATACGGAAGTGAGTTCAAGCAGGTGTCGGTTTCTGGCATTGGCTCAGTAGATTCCGTTTTGACTGGTGTAACCACAATCAAGCTAGATGGGACAAATTATCTTGCTTGGGCACAGCCTATAAGAATCTATGTCTGTAGTAGAGGAAAACTCGGGTATCTCACAGGCAGTAAGGTGAAACACGAAGAGACAGACCCTGAATTTGAAAAATGGATGCAAGAGAACTATACTGTCATAGGGTGGTTGGTCAACTCTATGCAACCTCATATAAGCCAGCACTATCTCCGGATGTCTTCGGCTAAGGAGATATGGGACAATGTTATTGAGACCTATTCACAGAAATTGAATGTAGCCAGAGCTTATAAGTTGAAAAGTGATGTGAAGAACCTAAGACAGGGGGAGAAGAGTGTAGCAATCTACTACTATATACTAAAATCCCTATGGCAGGAAATTGATGTTATGGAGACAGTGGTATGGGAGAGTAAGAAGGATGCTAAAATGTATAGAAAGCTGGTGGAGAGAAATAGGGTGTTTGAATTTCTCACTGGACTCAACCCTGAGTTTGACATTATTAGACAAAATATCTTGGCCAGAGATGAAGTTACTCTTTCACAGGCATATGCTATGATAAGTAGTGAGGAGAGTAGGCGGCAGGTTCAGTTGCAGAGTCCACCTACAGAACATTTTGCACATGCAGGAATGAAGCCAAAGGGCCCTACTAAGAAAAGAGAGCAGATGTGTGAATATTGCAAGAAACCGAGGCATACAAAGGGCACCTACTGGAAGCTTCATCCTGAGCTTCTCCCTGATAGGTTTAAGAATAACAATAACTCTAAGAAGGGCAGTCAGGTAGGAAAACCTAAGACTGCTAATGTTGCAACAGTACCTGAAGGGGGAAGTAAGGAGAGTGAAGAGAAATCAACCATTGAGCAATTGGTTGCAACGAATCTGGATTTTGAAAAGTATGGGAGGCTCCTAAATCACTTGGAAGCTACGGTTTCTTCAGCTCACCCTTCCAACAACACATCATCTTCATCGGCTTTTGCTCACTCAGGTATTCGTGCTTCTGCAAATCATGCTTCAGTTTCAGGTAATCATAAAATCCCTTGGATCATTGATTCCGGTGCATCAGACCATATGACCAGCCTGTCTAATCTTTTTTGCTCATATCACCTTCTCTCTAGAAAAGAGAAAATATCCCTTGCCGATGGATCCCTTGCCCCCTCTCTGGTAAAGGTGATATAAAGACCTCTGACACCCTTTTCTTATCCTCTATCCTTCATGTCCCTAAACTTAACACAAACATTTTATCTGTTAGTAGCTTAACAAAATC